TGTGCTTGTACTATTCAGTGGAAATATAGAGACGGCTAACACTCATTGATACCAAGCCTACAAAGTTAATCTACCAATAAGATTTCTTCTATCTACTTGCATTCAGTTATTATATAAAGTCTATTTGTGTAAGTCTAGGATCTTAACAATGACTAAAAAATTTGAGCAATGTCCCTGCATCTAATTTTGTGTAAAGCCTGGCAGTTCTGCTACCGACACCCTCAAAATGCTTAATGTAGTTTTTTAATAAACATTCTTTTGGTTGAACATGCATTTTTGAATGACAACTGCACCTCAAGGCCATGGAGTGTCATTTCAAGATGAGCATTCAAGGTGACCAATTATCAAAAAAATGCAAGAAAAATTGTTAACTTGGCCATGAGAATTGTCAATGAAGCATCCATCAACTCAACGGTAATCAGTTATGGAGTCAGCCAGGAGATCCTCATTGAAAACCTGAACACATTGCTACAAAGTTTGTTTCCCAGTTGGTATCACTGTGTAATTTATCAATGGGACTATTTTGAAGGGGATGTTAACCAAATTAAAATGGTAAATGAAATATCTACTGGAACTGTTGTTTAAGGCCTAGTCTTGGAACTTTCCAACACTACCTCATGTACCATAGTATCTGATATTACATTTAGTTTAGCATACCAAAAGGTTACAAATGTCGGATATATTTTGTGAGGATTTAATTCTCTAGAGTAATAAAGCACTCTTAACACTATCTTGTTAATTATTGAGGTTGAGCGGGAGGGACCAGACTGAACACAATTAACTCTTGAAGACCCCCAATGGCAGAATAAGCAAAGATCTATACAATCTCAATGGTCAAACCAGTAGAAGAGGGCAGCACCAGTTGGGCTGACGTAACCAAGGTGGACATTCACAGACTATGCATCTGACAGCCCAATGTAACAAGGTTTACCAGGTTTTGCCTGTCTCAATCCCTTTTTAGCCATGAGGGAGACATTTCTGCCCAAGTGGGTGGGCTTCTCTGTAGCACAGAGTTGTCCACCAAAATCAAATTCATGCAAATGACTTTGTCAAACTCACTTTTTGACTACTCTTCAGGAGTAGACTGAGCCTCCACAGCCATCTCTACCGCCACCATCAGAGGGGAGAAAGGGAATAAGGAAAGAGAGTGACAGTCCCAATGCTTGGATGTATGTAGGTGCAAACTAACCATTGATCTGTGGCATGGCCATCTTTAAAATTGAAATCACATAGAACACAGATAAGGCCTCTTGATTCTTCTGATATAATTCAAGAGAAAAAAATAAAATAAAACTCTATGCAAAGCGCATCATTTTTGGTACAATGGGTTTAGAATTGAAATGTTAATTATTGCTTGAGTATTGATTTGTCAAGTGAATCGCTGTGATGTTCAACTGAGCAATAAGCCTTATGCCCTCCTTTTTTTATGACAGATTTGATAAGGAAAAAACTCTCCTGAAAAATCCCAGCTACCTTGTTGACATGCAACAAGCCGTTTGTTACCACTCTGGCTGCCATTAGTTCAGTCTGGCTTTTGTTTCAATCTTTTGGCTTCAGGAATTTCTTTATTGGATTAAATTCTTGATGGCATTGAATGAAAAAAAGTCTAAAATAAATTAGAATAAAGTAAAATAGGCATCATTCAGTTACTGGATAGAAAATGAAAAAAAGAAAATGTTTTGAACATTCTTTAATTAATGGAAGAACTAAGCCTGCAAAAGTCTGTTGCTGCTGCCAAATCATGAAGATGGTGGAAACGTAAAGAATCAAGCGGCTAATTGTATGTCACAGCTGAAGAGTGACAATAAAATGTTTTTCTCTCTTTCGTAGTCTGTCAGCTTTTATGGCCATTGCAATCGACAGAAAAACTAATTTCAGAGAATGCCAATATTGTTAGTGTCATTAAATGGTTGTAGGTGACAATTCACAAATGCAAACCTTTTTCTTTTTTTCTCTGTTTTAAATAATCACATTTGCTTCTAAAATAAAATAAGATTAATACTTGAGATGAAGAAGAAAAAATTAAATGAGATTTTTTAGCTAATTTTTTGTTTTTGGATAAAACATTTTGGCTCTTGCCAAACATAAGTGTTTTGCAAAATTACAGAAAATGGTGGCAAAATAAGTATCAAATGAATTTTGATGACCGTAGAAAATCTACTTAGGATAGCATCAAGATTTTAGAAGAATGAATTTTCAGCTTATATGATTTTGCTGCAAATTATTATTAAAACAAATAAGTTTTTTTTCAATTTTTTTTTTTTTTTTTTTTTTTTTTTTTATAGTAAGGTTCACTCTTTACAAGGCCCGGTGACCACTCAAGGTAGAGGGTTACATTAGGAGGCAATTTGTGCAGATAGAAGTGTAAGATAGCAGTTAACCCTATCCTTGAACAGGTTAAGATTGTAGTGATTGAAGCTTGCCACATCCCACCTGTGGAAGAGAGGTTGGCAGGTGAAAAATAATTTGTCACTCAGAAGGGCTCATAGACACTATGTTTTTGTTATTGATATTTATTAAAATTTAATGTAAAATTAAATATAAACACATGACTCTGTTTGGAATATGAAAACAGTAAGCATGATGGAGCTTTTTTTTTTTTTTTTTTTTTAGTCAAGTTGCTTATGGCGTCTGAATTTATTAACACAAAGCCACAATATCAGAATACTTATGATTCTGCATTATTACAAAAAGAGTTAGGGTATAGACCCAGATATTTTGCAACATTAAGGATTGTTGAATATCTGAGATTAAAGAAATGAAAATATTAGAATTTAAAATCAAAGTAGGATTGTTTAGTCAGACTTGTCACCTACAGCTCCAAGTAGTGATAACTCGCTGATCTTTTTAAGATAGCAGTAATATGTGCATTTATGTCTTTTAATACACCTCATGGTAAACAAACTGGTATTTTAGCTAATAGGCACAATAAGGAGACCGGTTTTGATGTTAATAACTGCTAAGAAAGAAATTCCAATGTTTTCTTAAAACTCTGGTTTCTTTGAGATTTTGGTGTTTGTGTCTCCCACTTCAGTTTAACTTGTAATTTTGAAAAAATCTTTCCTGGAATGAAAATTAAATACTGTATTCCTGTTGGCTTTTAAATGTTTGCTGATGTCATCAATTTCTTTGCTTCCCTTCCTCTTAACCAGCTGAGATGATATGCCATTCCTGGAATGCCATTGTATTAAGTGCAGTTTCAAAATAATAACAACAAACATCTCACCCTCTGGATATTTGTTGATCAGTTCCTGTTAAAAACAAAGATTAGTGTCTCTCTTTCTTTCTAACTTGCTCTCTCTCTCTCATTCTCCTGCACACACTTATTCTCTTTCTTTGCGTACATGCTTGTCCTCTCTTGTATACAATTGACCCTTTTTTTTCTCTGTCACAAGCACTTGCTCTCTCTTTTCTGCACACTCTTTCTGCTTCTCATTCACAGGTATGCACACTTGCTTTTCACCTCCCGCTTGTACATCCTTACTCTCTCCTCCTCTCTTTTGCACATGCTCTTTCTTTTTCTTTTACACACACACACACACACACACACACACACACACACACACACACACACACACACACACATTTTCTCTTCTGTTTCTCTCTCCTCTCTCTCTCTCTCATGTTTTATGTATTTTGTGAAGAGGAAATGAATATATTTATGGAAATGCATCAAGTGTGGTACAAGGCAAGTTTATTGTGCTTTCTGTGAGGAAGAGTAAACATTGGGTCATAAATCTAAAGGACATAAACAGACTTAAATATTTTATATTTATATAAACTAATTCAATAAAATATTGAATTCGTTTCATGATTTTCCCCTCCCAAAATAGTTTGATAATGAGAAATTTAGATGATCGTTCAAATAGTTACTTAGTACTTAGATATTGTTCTTAACTTAAAACTTCAATTTAGCTAATTGGAAATTTTGAGAAGATATTTTAATATTTTTGTGATGTGTTTTCTCTTGTCTATAATCCTCTCACATATTTAAGCATAGCATCTGAAGCAGCCACTATAGAAAGTGATTTTCATGGAAGTAATGTGTTTAATTTGCCATGTTGGGAGTTTTGAGTTTAAATTTGAACAACAATTTTATGTGTCTATATAATCTTCTGCCTTTGTCAATCAGTCTAATAGGGAAACACCAGAGGCAATCAAAACCTATTCATAAAAATGGCCACTTGACTATATATCTGTCTTGCATAGATATTGTGTTGTCAATGGATAATCATCTCTGTTAGTAGTCAAAAGTTTCTTAGTTACTTTACTAGTGTATAAGTTTATTTGATTAATGACATAGTGAAATTGTGATATTAGAAGCCAGCAAGATAATGTAGTATTTCTCATAAGAATCTGATATATGGTTAGTCAATTTCTAGTCAGATAGATTTGATCATTTATAACTTGTTTATAAAGTGAAAGCTAATTCCTCTAATGGACATGTGGCCAAGTGGTAAGGGCATTATCATTCTAACTATGAGACCTATGTTCAAATCTCACTATGATCAATTTGTCAAGGAGGTTATAATATCAGGTTGGGGAAATAATTCCAAGATTGCTCATTGGAAAGTGCCTGAAAATCATATGTCGACCCAAGCCTTGTGAGTGAAAGTGGGGAGATGAAAATGTTCAATGGTTGTACTAGCATGAAGTCATAAGTCATTCTGACCAGGGTTTTGAGTGTACTAGTTTTGCTCAACCATTGATCACTCTAGATTAAGTGTTTTCAAGCAGAAACTGTAACTAAGGTGTGCTCAGTATAGTTGCAGTATGAATCACAGATTGGCTCTGTGTGTATTGAACAAACATAAATGTACCTGAGCAGACATCTGCAACAAGGATTAGCTAGCCATCTTCGTAGGCTTCAAAGTCTGTGGAGACCAACAGATGCTTACTACTAGTTTCTCTCCAAAAATGTCCAATAAAAAAAGAAAACATCCACAAACTAATAAAGATTGTTGATGCATTATTAGTGAATTCTGAAATGAAATTTCCTTGTTTGTACTGGTTCCTGTATGATCACCAAAGTTAAGCAACATAAAGCCTGGTCAGTACCAATATGGGGAACCACTTGGGAATACTAGATGCTGTAAGCTTGGATGTGCAGATGATGTGGCTTGGAATTGTTAGCTGGTGTGTCGATTTCCAATGTTAGATGAAAACATTGTAGATGAGATTAAAAAAAAATGAAAAAACAGCTGTTGATTTGGATTAAATGTTTGTGGTGATAGCAGATTAATGATGGAAAATAGCTTAAAATTTTCCAGAAAAATAATGTGGGTTGGCCTTTGGATGTCTTATTGTGGGAGAATGGTCAGTTGACAAAACGGTTTACTATGAAGTTGATTTGATCCTTTTCTTGGTCCCCCCCCCATCTATTACTACATATGCATACAAGCACTTCTACAAGATTAAACTGAGATTGTTAATAATATAACAGGTTCAGTATGTGTAGGTATTTACTAGGGGGTGACCCCCCTAAATTTTATAAACCACCCTTCAAACCTGTATTAATGAAAAACATTTTGATTTTTTACAGTTATGCAATGGAGAGAAGTATAGCCACATTTATATCAGGTAAGTGTTTGGAACTTTTGTATCTTTGAGATTGTCCATTATCTTTGCTGAATGGAATGATTGAATAGAAAATCTGTGGGCTGATGGCAGATTCCTGCCACAGACACAATGTTCAAATTTTCAGTGAAAACGTAAAAGAAAACAAAAACAAATTCCTATTGACTTGTTCTCGGAGAACATTTTTTGCTGTTTCTAGAGTTACAGAATATTTCATGAGAATTTTATTTCCCCTTACAAAAAAGAAAAAAATGCTAAGAATAAAGTTTAGATTTGAGTCATTTCAAAATTGCAACTGAAGTTCTTACCATCAAGATCTTTTTTGTATTAAAGATATTAGATATTCCCCCCTCCCCCCCAAAAAAAAATCAATATTTTCATTTTTCACAAAGTTATCTTCGTCCAATTATCTAATGTATTTTCTGTTCTTCATCTTCTAATGTTTACTTATAGCATCTTAATATGGCACCATATAAAATCAAATAGAAAGATTGTGTTGCACCAGTTTTACGACTGGGGGAAACCCTGTTATGAAAATCAGCATTCAAGATAGGAAACTTCATTCTTGAGGCAGGCTTTTATTGCTGAGTTTTATGATCATATATTGCAACCAAACAATTATAGTGTTGGAAGTAAATTGGGATCTGGGGTGGGGGGGTAGCATATGCAGAAATAGATGACATGATCAGTGATTATGTATGACCTCCTAGGTCATTCACAATTAACTTTAGATTAAAATAATTTTTTTTTCCCCCCAATCAACTGAAAGAACTTAGAGCTAAAAAAAACTTGATTTTTTTTCCTTTGTAGAATGAAAAGGCTTTTCAAACATTCTAAAGTTTTCTGGTTAAATTTGATTTTGTTCAGTTGTTTTAAATGTAAAAAAGGGCTTAAAATACAGAAATTACCTGTGGTACTGTGAACAAGGTATTCTTATTCCAAATAAAGATTCAATTGAAGAAATAAACTCAAAGCTGTTACAACAAATTGTGAGGAAGGTTCAGCCATAGGAGTTAACAAAATTTTGAAAACTGTTCAGAACACATTTCACTTCCTCAACTTTCTTAAACTGCCTGGTGATTCTCTCTACAGGCTTCAACTAAAGTTTTAGATATTCATCAGGCTTCACAGAAATCTCAATCTCCCAAAGTTGTGTATTTGAACTTTGCAGCCAACCAGCACCTCCCACATGTTACTGATGCAAATGTCCTTGCTGGGGTAGACAAAAAAGAAGCATGTATTCATTTCCAGAATCCCTACCATTCCAAGAGATTGACTCTTTGAATTCCAGCAACTTCAATTCCTGATGAGACTCCGCTTTGCTATAAGCATCAAGGTACAAGAACAATCTCTCAAGATTGCTGGCCCTCAACCTGACCTTTCTATGTTTATCCCATTGTCAGTTCTATTTTGGTGGTTCTAGGGGTGGATCCCCAAAGTACTAATATTGTATACCCAGAAACTTCATCAGCAATGTCTCAAGAACAATCTCTCAAGATTGCAATTCTTCACCTGATTTTTCCATACTTTTCTCATAGCCAGTTCTATGTTGATGGTTTGTAGAGTCAGACCTCCAAACAAACTTTTCATATTTACCCCAAGCAGGAGAAACACAAATGTTGTCAACAATTATTTTATAAAATGTCGATATTATTTTTTCAGTCTCTGGTTGTATTATTTCATTGAAACACAATCACACATGTTTCATACACTGAAGGTTTACATCACATTGAAACAATGCTTTCCTTATGATCACCAAAGTTAAGCAATGTTGAGCCTGATCAGTACCTAGATTGGTTGCTGCTTGGGAATACCAAGTACTGTAAGCTTGGATGTACGGATGGTGTAATCGACAATAACACAGAATTGTTAATCGGAAAGCATAATTCCAATTCCTGTTAGGTTCATTATATTCCCTTATGTGCAAATACTCTTGGGAAAGGTATGAATTCACCTTCTCATCCTAACTATGGGTTAATTCGTAAGACTTTGTCTCACTAAACCATTATTATCTATTAAAAAAAAAAAAAACTATTTTCTGGCTTTAAATAACCTGCAAAGGGTTGATAAGTTATGAAAAAAAATGAATGAATCAATAATGCCGTAAAGAAATATAGAAATTATTAATATTCACTCAGCAGCTGCTTAACAGACTTTGTAGTAATCATTCTATTCTAATACTCTACCTATTGTTATATCTACCATTGTAAATGTATCTATGTATATATGTATGACTTGATAGAAAGGTAAAGAGTGGTGGGTGTCAATCATATGCCAATGTGTTTTCCTATGCATTGGATATGAATAAGTATAGTTAACTTTTCATTCAATCTGCACAAACTATTTGCTTTCTGTCAAACTGCATTTGCTGCAACAAATTTGTGTTCTTGTGCATTTCCTCTTCCTTCCTTCTTCACCCTCTTCTTTTATGTCTTCCACTCTCTTCCTCTCCATCTTTCTTGTTTTATTAAATAACAACAAGTGTAGTCCATTGCAGTAAAATCTGTTTATTTTCCACTTTTGATTCACAAGGTTGAGTGGCTTTGGCAGAATTCCTCTTAATGGAAGCAGCAAGTTGCTTGCAACCATTCCTAGCTGCCAAATATAGTACAAGTCTCTCAGGAACTGACACACATGACTTGCAGATAGAACATCACTGTTGATAACTACTGTCTTGGAATAGCCCTGGGGTTAAATGCTCAGACATAAGATTGCAAGATTGAAAGTTTCTGTTATACATCATAGATATTTGCCAAGCTTAGTTTAGTGTTGAAAAAAGATAAATAACAAGAATTGTTAGGAAGATTGTGTTGCTCCAAATAGTGGTTTTCTCCTTCCTCTATTGAAAGTCAGCATTTAAAATCCTGACTTCAATGTTAACCACTGATCCGAGTAAGAAATAGTCAGCTCTGACCACCCCAAAAAACACTAATTTAGTCAAAAGCCACAGTCACTTTCTCTCTCTCCCCCCCCAAACTCTCTCGGTTTCTCTTTCTTTCTCTCTCGGTTTCTCTTTCTTTCTCTCTCAGTTTCTCTTTCTTTCTCTCTCAAATGCTCTATTCCTGACCAAAAAATCTTTCTCTCACTCCCCACCTTGGTCTCTGTTGTTGCCCCGTACCCTCCTCATTTCTTTTTTTCTTTGCACCCCACCACCACTGCCACTAGCCACTCACATTGATTGTTGCTTAATTGGTTCTGAAATTTGTCACTACTGGAATCCTTTTTCCATTTTCAGGTCATTGTCATTTGGGACAAGCATTTTTGACTCAGTGTCACTTTATCATTTTTCTCCCTTGTTCCCATTGAGGCAGCAACCATGAGAGAGAGAAAAAAAAATATTCTTGTCAACCAATTTAACTTCTTCACCTCCATGTGCCAATAAGAAAAAAATTACTTTCCCCAAATAATTTATTCAATAGATTATTTTGTATATGTTCAACTTGGTTTAATCTGGTATAGGGCCATTTTGAAATGAGTGTTTTGTTTGAATATTTGTTATGACGGATAAAAATGATCTGGCTATTAATAAAACATTAATTGCTGCTCAGACTTTTTTTCCAAAGTGTGGTTAGAATGTTTGTATTTGATAGATACAGTGTCCATGTCAAGAAGGAATGCTTTTTCAAATACTTGCTCTCAAAAGAAAATGGTTTCCATAAATAATATAATTGTTTCTCTATAATGATGGTCACTTTCCATCATTATTACTTTTGACAAAAGGGTTGTGTGTGTGTCTCTCTCTCTTTCTCTCTCTCTCTCTCTCTCATACTCACACACACATACATATGAAGGCTTCTTGTTAGAAAAGTTTGATCAGCACCTGAAACTCATCTATTAGCATGTTAACATTGTCTAGTATGTTCTGTAAAATTATAAGGCAGGTTATTTTAAGAGAAACTTGTTTTTAATTGTTATTGTAGACTTTTCAGCACAGTGAAGGCCTACCTGATTGGAAAATCGGCATTCCAAATCTTTGTTTTAATCTATAGTCAACTATTAACCACCAATACTGGCAGGAAAGGAAATCCAAATAACTTATATTTGTATATTCACACACAGCAATATGCAGAGGGCAATAGATAAATTGTTGCCATTTTATATTTTTAATTTTGTGCATGTGCATTGTTTTTTTATTTTATTTTGTCAACTGCACAGTAGAGTCAGTTGGGCATCGTCTATGAGAAAAAGAGTATCATGATGCAATTCACTCTGCCAGAAATTTGGAAATGGCATGCTGTACTCCTTAGCATTTGCACTGGAAGGACTAATACAAACATTTCAGAGTGTTTGATTGTCAATCTGTGGACATTTCAGAGGATTCAGAAAGAGTTGGATGAGTCTAATAGTGATTATGAAGGTACAGCAGCTTGGAAAACTCATTCTGATAAGAAAAGAACTCCTGAATTTGTTGGCGAGAGCCACAGACTCAACACAGAGGCCTACATCAAATGTCTTGATTAGGTAGTGCTTCCCTGGGTCAATGCACCATGCCACACAAAGCAGGAGAACCCAGTCATATG